TTTGTGAAGCTCCCCGGCATCTTGTACTCGCTAGCGACCATGCACGAGCCTCGTACGCAGGCGGCGGCGTCGTACTTGGACCCGATGCTGGGTGACCTTGAAGCGGGAAAGCTTCGCATCCGGATACACCAGATTGCATCCGGGATATGAGACGTGATTTTAGACTAACTGCTTTGAATACGTCGAATATGGCACGTCTAGCAACTTCAAGCTAGTCAAACGCGTATTATTGAACCGGACGATCGCTTTCGCAGCATCCTGCACGCACTTGGCGCCCCTACAAAACGCCGAATGGACGCTGCGTTGCTAGTGCACAGTAGGAACGTGTTTGCGTTGAATCAAATTGCAAAACAAACACAAAGGTCTCGCACACAAGGTCGCGTAGGCCCTTGCCCGTAGGGTTGCGTGAAAGTAGTGGCCCCTGATGCTGAGGCGGAATATGCGAGCTTGGCACGTCGCCGAGCGCCTCCGATCACGCTGTTTTGCCAAGATGTTGCTATCTCAAGGTGCCTCGACCGTCCTGTTAGCCGGTCTTTTGCTATCCGCTTGTGGCGTAATTGTGTGATGCGGTTTGCGCTTCTGAATGACGTGGCAGCGCGTGCTAGTCCAACTGTAGGCAGTAGGGGAAAATGACTTCGGATGGGCAGCAGACTGTGTGAGGATCAGCAGAATTGAATTTGCCCCGCCGCCCTCACATACCGCCTTCAGCTTCAGTTCACGGTCGTCGGCCTCGACGCCGACGCATGGGCCTCCGACGCCACGGGCCTCCGATTTGATGACACGTTTCTGCACACACTGTGCTTGCGCTGGGCGCATTTGCTTGCGCGCGCCATGGACCGACGCGCTCCGCGTCCTGCTATTGGTCTGGCGCATCTCGGCCGTCACTTGGTCCGCTCGGCGCTTGCGGGAGCGATCAAGTTCAACCACCCGATTGGCCGCTACGGCTTCATGTGCGATGAAGTCACACAACTGCGAAACCGGAAGAGCGACCCCAACTTCAAGGAGCTCTCACCGGTCGACACGGAGCTGGCGGACGTTCTCGTCAAGACGGGACGATACGATGTGGCTCTCACGAGACTCAAGACTCTTCGTGGGTGCCTGCGGTCCATTCGACGCCTCATTTATCGGTAGCTAGATTTAACTAGTTATCGACCAACTAATCAATCAACAACATTTTCTCCATTTGACTTTTTACTTGTTTGCTCAAGGGCAATGGACATAATGACTACATTACCGCTTGGAACTCAGGCGAGGGGTTGGGAGACGTCTCGGTCTAGAATGCAAGATCCGCTCGTTTATCAAAAAAGAGCCGTCCTTGACGCGCCAACCTCCCAAACGGGACTTGCGACTGTACGATATAGCTCGTTAGCTAAAAGCTGCGATGGTGGCGTGGGATTGCTTCTCCATTGAATCATCGCGTTCGTCTCATTCTCACACGATGTTGGAGCTCGTCGAACAACCACGCACTACGATTGGGCCGTCCATCCGTAATGGGTCCACAGTTGGTCCAGCATAGTTTGATGCGATGTTGAGAGCCATGGGCCAGCACCACGGCTCATTGTAATCGCGTACAAAGCCACTGCAAGAGCGCACACTGCAATCTCTGCCAACCTCGGCAAGAACGGATCGGCGACGTACGTGATGGAAAAACGAAGCAAGTCGACAAGGTCGCCGAAACAGGTAGCGATAGCGAGATGCCGCAAATGACCGCGAATGAAGTAAGTGGTGTAGGTTCCGCCGCAGCTCATTTTGGCGTTACTCAAGTTGATACCTTGTTCGCCGAGCACGGACGGGCCGCTGGCATAGTGATGTTGCAGATGCCAGCGTTTGCCAACACAGTTGGCCCACCTTCCGATATGGAGCGTCCAGCGTTCAAGACGCAGTATAAAGTACGTAACGTGTTTTGCCACAAGTTCGCGCAAGTGATCGACCGGCCAAACTCAAGCGCGTAGCTAATGACGGACATCGAGAACAGATGAGGCACGAAGCGGAGGCCGACGCGATCGAGCCATGGCGCCATGACCGCGTGCACAGAAAGGTTAGGTTCGCGAAGTCGACATTGATCAACGAGGTAGATCGACAATCGCGCGCAAGAAGCGAGGAAACCATCGACATGTCGTGTGGTTGAGGTCGTTCTGTACGAGGTTGATGGGCCATGCACGCGTACAAAGATAAGGCCACGACCTATCTATATGCGAGAAGACTCGAGGCGCACAAGACCCCCGACGACCCGTTTCTTGGGCAAAGTCCGAAGCATGCGTGTCATGGAGAAAAACACGTGATATATCACTTTCTTCGCAATGTGTTGTTTGGATGCAGCGAGGAGGTCATGCAACTACATTGCGGCCAAACTCGTGCAACGCCAAGTAGAAGGAGCGAGAGCCGTCCTTGTGGCATCTACCTCGGTCGCCCCGTTCGGAGCACCCAGCCAGCAATGCGTCGACACATGCATGGGCTGCTGAGCAAGGGGTAGGGTTTCTGTCGAGCGC